ACCACACACTGATAACGTATCCAAATATGACAATGGAAGGGGTGATCCTGCAACAACTCTTAACAACCATGCCTTACATGACAGCTGGGCTTCGCAAAATGGAGAAGATTGGCAGGCAGAGCAAGCGGGAAGAGCAGCTGCAAATATACAAGATAAATCATCAACTGATACAACCACACCACATGCTGAAGACACAGCCAGATATAGCAATAGAGGGAGAGATCCTGTAACAACTCTTAACAACCATACTTCTCATGACAGCCAAGCTTTGTAAAATAAAGAAGATCGGCAGGTGGAGCAAGCAGGGAAAGCAGTAACAAATATAACAGATAAACCATCAACAGATGCAACCACACCACATACTGACAGCATATCCAGATATAACAATGAAAAGAGAAGTCCTGCAATAACACTTAACAGCCATGGTTTGCATGACAGCTGCACCTTGTGAGACAGAGAAGATCAGCAGACTGAGCAAATACATAGAGCAGTGGAACTAAAGCAGACACCGACCAGCAAAGCCGGATCAAGATTGACACATTCTATCACTGGACAGCGAGTCCAGATCTATCACGCGCCCAACAGCCAGATTATTAAATCTGGAGAGCCATAGAGACAGGCACCTACAGATGCTGGCTCGTACTTTGATTACATCAGCAGTTGCTGACTAAAGCTCAGTGTAAAATAAAAGATTTTATCCTGGAGATAACAGTCTCTCATTATATACATATATACATATATATACATATTTGTTTTCTGAGGTTTTCGCGGGTATTTGTATATAGGTCTTTGGTTGTTCGGGTTTTCTCCCGCGTAAAATTGGAAGTGTCTTGGCAACGTTTCGACGAAGTCACATTCGTCATCTTCAGGCTGGTGTTTTTAGCTTCTTGCTTTGAGCAGCAATGTGTGGTTTTAGCTGTTTCTTCCTTTAAACTGCCAGTGAGGGTATGAACTGATTGGATGGGAGCTTGGCTGTGTTCTGATTGGGTGGAGGTGTGTTCTGAATGGTTAGGGGCTTGGCTGTGCTCTGATTGTCTGGGGGAGTGTTCTGTTTGGTTGTGCTCAGGTTAGTCTGAGTTGCAGAGGGGTTTAAGATTTGGGGTTAGGGAGTCGTTTGTCAATAAGGGCAGGTTTCCAAATGGCTGGTAGGCGGGAGGTATCATCTCGCTTGTTCATGCTGTGTGGGCGTTTTTCTATCTCGATGGCTTCTCTGATTATTCTGTTATTAAAATGTTCACTTTTGGCAATGGTTCTGGTATTTTTAAAGTCAATTTCGTGTCCTGTGGCTTTAAGGTTTTGGACCAGGGAAGATGTTGGTTCCTCTTTTTTGACTGAGTTCTTATGTTCTTCAATGCGTGCACTTATTCTTCTGTTGGTTTGTCCGATTTATGTGGTGGGACAAGTGGTGCATGGGATTTCGTATACTCCTTGATTTTCTAATTCAATTTTATCTTTGGGGTTTCTAAGGATGGTGGATATTTTTCTGTTTGTGCAGAGTGCTGTTTTGATGTTGTGTTTATGAAGGATCTTACTGATTCTGTCTGTGGTGCCTTTTATGTATGGGAGGAGGGCTTTGCCGTTTTCTTGTTCTTTGTCTTGGATTTTGGTGGGGGTTTCTTTTTGGATTAGGTTTGGATTAGGTAATATATATATATATTACCTTGAATGATCACCCTGTCAGCCCAAATATGGGAGAAAGAAATCTTCTTTCTTTTCTTTTCTTTTGCCTGTATCAGCTCAATCTAGAGCCATCCACAAGCAGCAGTCGCCAACTGCGACATCATTTTACATTTTTAGGTTGCTAACAAAGAATAAAGAGAGAATGGTATAGCTATTTCTAGTTCCTTTAACTCTCTTCAGCCAAACTTACTCTTCTGAGATTCGAACCTGGGCTATCTGCAGTATATAGGTCTTTGGTTATTCGGGGTTTCTCCCGCGTAAAATTGGAAGTTGAAACCAGCCTGACCAAAATCAACCCCAACGATGCGAACAGAATCAGACTCGAAATCACCAACATCCTCTGCACCAGCAAGCCACCCAAAAGCAACTTACCCAAATAGGAACAGACAGCACTACGTAACCTGAAAGAAGACACCAGCATAATAATCCTACCAGCAGACAAGGGCAACGCCACGGTGGTTATGAACACATCTGACTACCCAACCAAATTAACCAACCTACTCCAAGACTCCACATACAAACCCCTAAATACAGATCCCACCACCTACCTGGAAAAAACCACCAGATCCAAAATAAAAGCCTCCCCCATTAGCGAAGAGATCCAGCAAAGAATCATTCCCAGAGAGAAATCATCCAGATGCCCTAAGCTCTATGGTCTCCCCAAGATACACAAGGAAGGAACCCCACTTAGACCCATAGTCAGCTCCATAGGCTCACCTCTACAAAACCTATCCAAATTTCTCACCAAACAACTACAGCCCTATGCAGAATCCATCACCTCACACGTAAAAAATTCATTCCATTTCTTAGAGATCATAAAGAAACAAAACTTACAGCCCAGCAACCTACTCGTGAGCTTCGATGTCATATCCCTGTTCACCCAAGTGCCAATCAAAGAAGCCTTGACAGCTATCCAAAACAAATATAACCCCCCAAAACACATCCTAGATCTGACCAACCATTGTCTATCCAACACATACTTCATCTATAATGGACAAAAATACAAACAAATAGAAGGAGCACCCATGGGATCACCCCTCTCACCTGTCATTGCAAATCTCTACATGGAACACTTTGAAACCCAAGCTCTAGAAAGATTGGATCACAAACCCAAACTCTGCCTCAGATACATAGACGACACCTTCATAATCTGGCCACATGGGAAAGAAAAACTGGACAACTTCCTCACACACCTCAACAGCCTACACCCCAAAATATAGTTCACCATGGAAACAGAAGCTAATAACCAACTTCCCTTCCTGGATGTCTTAGTCTACAAGAAATCCAATGGCTCCCTAGGACACACCATCTACCAGAAGAAAACACACACAAACTGCTCTCTGCACGCTCTCTCACACCACCACCCAGCACAGATCAACTCTGTAGCCAAGACACTCATATCTAGAACAAAACACTTAGCTGATGAACAACACCTAAAAACCGAACTACACACTCTCACTAATGTACTTACATCCAATGGATTCCAAAGAAATAAGATTACCAAACTAATCCAAAAAGAAACCCCCACTAAAACCCAAGACAGAGAACAAGAAAATGGCAAAGCCCTCCTCCCTTACATAAAAGACACCACAGACAGAATCAGTAAGATCCTCCACAAACACAACATTAAGACAGCATTCTGCACAAACAGAAAAATATCCACCATCCTAAGAAACCCTAAAGATAAAATTGAATTAGAAAATCAAGGAGTATACCACTTGTCCCACCATATACAACGGACAAACCAACAGAAGAATAAGTGCATGCATTGAACTCAGTCAAAAAAGAGGAACCAACTTCTTCCCTGGTCCAACACCTTAAAATCACAGGACATGAAATTGACTTTAAAAAGACCAGAACTATCGCCAAAACTGAACACTTTAATAACAGAATAATCAGAGAAGCCATCGAGATAGAGAAACGCCCACACAGCATGAACAAACGAGATGATACCTCCCGTCTACCAGCCATTTGGAAACCCGCCCTTATTGACAGACGAGTCCCTAACACAAAGAATGACACCAGACCCACACTCACAAAAGCCACACAGGATGTCACCACCACACGTCCACGCAAAAAGCAAACCCAAACCCACACCAATGATGAGGCATGACCACGGACCAGAAGCCAGACTACAGCTGCATCATTAGCCACTTTAAACCCCTCCAATCCATACATGAAGCAAACTGACACTCACCATGAAAATGAGGCACGACCACGAACGCAAAGCCAAACAATATCAATGCAGCTCACCATCTCACATCCTCATGCAACTCAGACTCACCTGAGCAGAACAAAGCCCCCACCCAAGAACACTCGCCCAACCAATCAGAGCACAGCCAACCCCCCATCCAATCAGAGCACAGCCAACCCCCCATCCAATCAGAGCACAGCCAAGCTCCTAACCAATCAGAACACACTTCCATCCAATCAGAACACAGCCAAGCTCTCATCCAATCAGCTCATATCCCCACTGGCAGTTAAAAGGAAGAAACAGCAACGATCACACATTGCTCCTAGAAGCACGAAGCCGAAAACACCAGCCTGAAGATGACGAATGAGACTTCATCGAAACGTCGCCAAGACACTTCCAATTTGACGCGGGAGAAAACCCGAATAACCAAAGACCTATATATATATATATCGTGCCTCATCCTTCTGCTCCATCTGCCCACAACCGGTGGGGATGCCTATCGGTCTCCATCTGCCCACCAGTCGTGGGCAGACGGAGCAGAAGGATGAGGCACAATGGAGCATACACACACCCCGGGGTGGAGGGAAATCGGAGAAAAAAAGACTGACAGGAATGGATGACGGAAGGCAGGAACAGCATGTAGACCAACGGGCTAGAAAGGAAGGGAGCGCTGATGGCAAGCCTTTTGGAACACTGGATCTGAGTGCGTAGCCTGGAATGAGCAGGAGAGAGCGGTTGGAGAGCACACCAGCAGCAATGGTGCTGAGAGGGAGAAGATTGACAAGGATGAGAGAGGGGAAAGATGTGGAATTGGAGTGCAAAAAAGAGAAGACAACCAAGGCAATTACGGTTAGCCAGGAAGGATGGTCCTATCACATGGGCAATGAGTAAGCAGTTAAGCCAGCAAGGTGTACAAAAAGAATCTCCCCACTCCCTAAGCTTTACTCTGAGGATGTTGGCAGGGGACCAGTGAAAGCTAAGTTGTTTCTTTTAACATTGTAAATAGTTGTTTTTATTGTTTTTAAATATCTTTTTAGCAATACATCTCCCGGAGATCGAAGGCTGTGTTATTGAACAAATATGCCCGGAATTTGGATTGCTAACAAAGAATTAAGGAAGAATGGAATAGCTATTTCGAACTAATTAGCTCTCATCAGCCAAACATACCCTTCTGAGATTCGAACCTGGGCTGCTTGCACTTTAGGCAGCTGTGTTAACTTCTAGGCCACAGGCTCTTTCTCACTTTGTCAGCCGTGTCAGGGAAGGAAGAGACAGGGGTGGACATGCACGGGAGGGGGATGCGGACTTTCTGGATCTCCCTCTTCTTGCAGGTTCCAACCAACTGCTTTGTATCTCACCGAGGTCCCCAGGCTGTAGCCAAAATAGCTGCGATTAGAATAAGCAGATAAAGCAGCGTTATGCTGGCATTGAAGGCAAGCAGAGGCAGTGGACAGAGCAGGCAGGGCTCACTCCCAACGTCTAGCCTGGGATCCGGGGCAGCTCCTTTAGACTAACAGACTGCCTGCTAGCTAAGCACTCAGAGCTGGCAGCCTGGCGAGCGAATCTGACTGCACGCTACGGTTGAGCTGCTGCCAAAAAGGCCACCCCCATTTCTCCTCTGCTGATTCCCTTCCCGGGACAGCCTCGTATGCTCTCTTGCTCGCCTCCTGCGGATGAGGCAGTGGCATCCTGACTGTGGGAGATGGAGGAGCCCTGCTGAGTGGAGGCGCTTCCAAAGAAACAGGACCCGGGCGAGGGAAAGGTAAGCGGGCCGGGGAGGGAGCAGCTTCCAAATGGTGGAGGAGACTGGGAGCTGCAGAAGAAGGCTCAAAGAGCTGCATGCAGCTCTGGAGCTGCGGATTGCCAACCTATGCCCTAAACAAAGCGAAGGAGAGCCAAAAGAAACAGGCATACAAGAAGTGAGTGCCCCTTGTAGGAGATAAACTGTATCTGTCTACAAAGTATTTAAAATTGAGACAATCTTGCAAAAAGTTAGGTCCAAAGTACATAGGGCCCTTTTCTATTGTAAAAATCATCAATCCAGTCATGGTACAATTAAAGCTGCCCAGAATACTTGGGAAAGTGCACCTAGTGTTCCATTGCAACCTGCTAAAATGCTTTAGGGGTCTAAAATGAGACCAGTTGAAAAGGAAGCCCTGGCCAAATTATGGTGTGTGGGGGGGGGAACCACATTATGAAGTCAAAAAGATTTTGGATTCTAGGATTCACAAGGGTAAACTTTCCATTGTATCTAGTACAATGGAAAGATTATCCAATCTCAGAGGGTAAGTGGACAAAAGCAGGTAGGTGGCGGATCAATTAATAAATAAGTTCCATAATAAATACCCCCAAAAGCTGGGGCCACAACAATAGAAGAAAGTATAGGAATTAACATGTACTTATTGTTTTCCAGATCCCTTCTGACTTTTAGGGGCCTGTCAAGCTGCAAAGAATGCTTACACTGCTCCATCCATTACTACTTCTTAGCTTGCCTACAGACGTGGGAGGGAAGGGAAGAATGGAATACAGGCTTCAGACATCGGGCTGCCAAATGTGAGAACCAAGGTCATCCAACAACTGTTTACTGAGAACTGACATTCTCTCATAACAATTGTCTGACATTTTATTGGATAATGTGATCTGCACTAATAGGGAGGAGGGAGATTCTATACTTTAATATACTGATTTAGGTGCCAATTAACCAGAGCTGGTTTTCTATTCATCTGTGCCAAAATGGTGTGCTCAATAAAGTTTTGCATTAGAGATTGGAAAGTCTCAGCTGTGCTTACTTCGTTGGGATCATCAGTTGGAATGTTGATATTGTTGACATTGACATTCCTGCCTCAAGCATTGCTAGTGAAAAAGCATTCTTGTGCATATAATGAATGCAAACTTATGTGGGAAAGCACAGAGCAGCTAACTGTTTGAGTTACTTGCTTATTATAAAAACAGGGGAAGGGGTGTGGATTCATCAAGATCTCTTATTATTAAAAAAAACTGTAGAAAGAATTAAGGATGATGAAAAAAAGTGTTTAATACATTTGGAGATCCAAATCTATCTAATTATTTAATGGAAACAGAAATTTAATTATTAGTCACATTGAAAATTCACCAAACATTTGCATTTTATTAAAATCTGATTATCTAGCTGAGAAAAATCTACACAAAAATATTTAAATTTTTGAAAATGGAGTATAAAAATTATGGATTATATTAGAGAAAATGTAAATTGCAAGCAAAAATGCACATTTGGAGAAATGTACACCAAAGTATATAAAATGATAACTGGTTAAAAAACAACAACAACCCAGTGTGATAAACTGAATGTGTTAAATTTGCACCATAAGAAAAACTAGAATAAATTCAATTCTGTCTACAGATTTGCTTCTTGCTATAGGAACAAGAGACTTTGGTTTTATTAAGACAAATAAGGAAGTCTATAAATATAGATATATAAATATCACACCTGTATGAAATATTTAACATCTATCAAAATCCTCATTCCTGAAATTTTATTTGCCATGTTAAACCTTGAGATGGCTTTGATTAGACACTAAACATGGCTTGGATTAGACAGTTAGACATTCTAATAGGCAACAAAAGTTTCAGGTTAGTTTAGGTTATAAAGTAATTCTTTTTTTTTAATTGAAAATTTATAAGATTTTACAATACAAAAACAAAACAATTTTCCCCATCCCTCCCCAACCCTCCCCTTCCCTCCCCCGACTATCCCAGAGCTGGATATAGGCTTAATTAGAGTTTCTTCAAAGAATCTTAAGAAAAGTGTAAAATATAGATAAATCTAGATACATTACTTAAACAAATTACTAAATAATTAACAACAATAAACTATAAACAAATCTAAATACATTACTTAAACAAGTTATAAAATAATTAAAGATAATATATATATATAAAAAAAGAAAAATAGAAAAGAGGAAAGAAGAAAATAATAATAATAAAAAGAAAGAAAAAAAAGGAAAAAAAGTTTGGCTTTTCAAGAAAATTGGCTTTTCAATATAAATTATTAAAAAGCTAAATAATATTTTTTAATATCCATCTTGTGTTGTATAAAATCTATCCATTTCCTCCATACCACAACATACTTCTCGTGAGATTGATCCTTCAGGAAAGCCGAAATCTTTGCCATTTCCGCCAGATAAGAAACTTTAAAAAGCCACTCTTGCAAGGTAGGCAGAGATTCCTTCTTCCAACATTGTGCTACTAACAACCTTGCAGCTGTGATTAAATTTAACATCAATGTGATATCTTTAGTATCACAATCTGTAACAATACCTAATAAAAACAATTGTGGGGTAAACTTTACCCTCCTTCTAAAAATTCTTTGAATATTCCACCATATCTTAATCCAAAAAGCTTTTATATTTTTACACGTCCACCAAATATGATAATATGTAGCATCCAGACTTCCACATCTCCAACATTTAGGCTGTAGATCAGGATACATACGAGGGTTATAAAGTAATTCTTAACCTTAACCTAGCTAAGGTATTAGGGAATATCACCTTCTATAAAGGCAGAAGTTTCAGAGCTATTCTCCATGACCTGCATCCATCCATCTATAGTTGTATTCCCTCAACTGAAGTTCCTTTCCCATCCAAATTAACAAATCCAGCAGACAAAGACAAAAAGCCCAGATATAAATATTTGTTATTAAGTAAACATTCACAAGATATATAAAATCATTCTGCTAGAGGCAGAATTAACTTTCTTTTAAAATGTTGGTACAATTTTTTAAAAAGTAGCTAGTTTTTACTTTAATTGAAACCATATAACCATGTTAACAATCAATAAGAACTTTTTAAAAATAAGTTTTAAATTTACCTCATATTCCTCTTTGCTTCTTTCCTCTCTGACAGTCTTTCTTCACAGTGTAAAGGAAAAAAGAAACTTAAGTAAGATTTGTTATGAATAGAGGTCTTAAATGGAAAATGAGAAATGTGAGAATTGGACAAAAGAATATTCATTGGGGCATTCTATGCTTCATTGATTTAGTGACTTGAGATTACAATCTTAAAGTGGATTGTATTAGCATGATTTGATTTTCAATTGTATTGGATGAACAAAATAAATGTGACATGTTTCTGATGGCCAGAGATGGGAATAAATACCAAAAGTATCCATATATAGAATTTTATACTCATTGTATAATACTGTATGCACAGCACTGTTTCTGCCAAAGAATTGTATAACATCTGATATAAATGTGTGTGTGTGTGTGTGTGTGTGTGTGTGTGTGTGTGTCAAACAAATTTAAAATTAAATATATAAAGTGTAATTTGTCCCACCTCACCTGCAAACACCCAGGAAACCCAATATCTGTTGTCTAGAGAAAATGTTCGCTTAAGTATATTAAATAGACTGCAATAGCAAACAGCAATGGGTAGAGGAGTTTGGCAAAAACCTTCATTGGGCTAAAGATCGATCAACACTGCAGGATATAGAGCAGGGGTTCCCAATCCCCAGTCCATGGACCGGTACCAGGCTGTGGCATGCCAGCAACCGGGCACACAAACAAGCAAAGCCCCATCTGTGGGACCCAGGCAGCACATAAAACCATGCCCCCTCCAGAAAAAAACTCTCTCCACATAACCTGGTACCCAAAAGATTGGGGACCTCTAATCTAGAGCAGCATTTTTTCTTCAAAATAAAAATTAATCACTAAAAAAGTATAAACTGTGTATTGTGGTTTGATTCATTCATGATTTGATTAATCTCTTTTAAACTCAATGACAGAAAATTCTAATTTTTTTTAGATATATTTATCTAAAGTAAATATGCCAGATATTTCAATTTCTTTCATTACTTTTATTTTTGGCCACAATACATGCTGAATTATATGTAAATGGCAAATATTACAATTTAATTAAGATGCGTTGAGTCTTTGATGCAATGTTCCATCTCTATTTTGAAACATATATTAACTAGTAGAATTATCAGGAAAGATTGTACCTATTGAAATTATACAGTTTTTCTCAAAATAAAAAAAGAAAAATATGAACCAGCAAATTGAAGCATTTACAGCATTCAAATGAAATTAACCACCATGTAAAAAAGATGTTGAGACTCTAGAAAGAATACAGAGAAGAGCAACAAAGATGATTGGGGGACTGGAGGCTAAAGCATATAAGGAACGGCTGGTGGAATTGGGTATGTCTAGTTTAATGAAGAGAAGGACGAGGGGGGACATGATAGCAGTGTTCCAATATCTCAGGGGCTGCCACAAAGAAGAGGGAGTCAAGCTATTTTCCAAAACGCCTGAAGGCAGGACAAGAACCAACGGGTGGAAACTAATCAAGGAGAGAAGCAACCTAGAACTAAGGAGAAACTTCCTGACAGTAAGAACAATTAACCAGTGGAACAACCTGCCTCCAGAAGTGGTGAATGCTCCAACACTGGACATTTTAAAGAAGAGACTGGACAGCCATTTGTCCGAAATGGTATACGGTTTCCTGCCTGAGCAGGGGGTTGGACTAGATGACCTCCAAGTCCCTTCCAACTTTACTATTACTATTATTATTATGGATCATCGCACAGTCAGCCAGATGTTCAGACTGGATTTGGCATTTTGTCTACCTATCGAGTCCTTACCCAGGACCTGGGAGAGGCAGATGTGGATGTTTGATGATATTACAGATATCGTTGCAGGATGGAAGCAGTTCCTAGTAAGGCCACCTTTTGCAATTGACTAATAGCGAATTTGTCAATGCCAATGGTGTTCAAGTGGTGCTCCAGTTGTTTTGGGACTGCACCCAAGGAACCTATTACTATTGGTACTACCCTTGTTGTTGTTGTTGTTGTTGTTGTTATATTATTTATTTGGTAATAGACAAGTAATTGATTACTGTTGCAATGTTAATAAACTAAAATACAATACAATGCATAGTCTAATTTTGGAATAATATAGGATGAAATAAATTGATAAAATACAAATATGTTAATGCAAAGAGACAGTAATTGGGTAAATGAATCTCCCTTACAGTGTACTTCAACTTGTTCTAGGTATCAGCTTTGTAGGATCACTCTCTTAGTAATAAACTTAGCAATTCAATGTAAATATATTCATTTCAGCCGAGGAGGAAATATGACAATTTCTAGCTGAGATCCCAGTGGGCTGTTTCTTCTAAAAGGGATAAGTGTTTCGATCAACCCATAATTGATAAAAAATATGGAATGAATTGAACTGAACTGAGTTGTATATGCAGCTTCTCTCAAAATATGACAAGTGGTGAAAGGGTCTATATTTAGCCATTGAACCCAATCATTCAAATCTTGCTCTTGAGGAGGGAAGCCATTGAAAGTAGATGCTGGATGGAAAACCTACATGTAGAATAACTTTAAAAAGTTGGTTGACTCAGGATTTGGCCTGGACCATACTTATCAGTTCTTTTAAGCATATTTTCTGAAGTCTATCAAAATGGGTCTTATGTCAGTATGTGAAAACTTTAAATATTAGATCGCTCTGTAAGAAATGAATACCTGTTTCCACTCTGACTCCAGGGGCAGATGTGTTCTCATCCATTCCCAATATGCATCTTAAAAAATGGGTCTGAACTTGTTCAAATGCAGGATAGATTTTTTAAGGCCCCACAATTCTGCGCTGTATGTCAGCACTGACTATTTTTGCCCTGAATACTTTTAGCACAGCAGTCAAGATAAATGGGTATCATAGACCAGTATATAAAACCCAAGAATCACAATTAAGATGAAAGGAAAAAAATAATTATTCTAACGCATCTAAAAAGAATTAGTGTTACTATTAATGATAATAGTTAATATTATTGTTAATATACTGTTAATACTATATTATATAACAGTGATCAAGGAGATAAAATCAGATTGATCTTGTAACAACAACATCTTGAGATAAACAAATCAAAATGACTAAGATATTTAGTAAAGAATGAAAATAATTCTTCCTTGAAAACTCTGCATAGAGATGGTGATACAGAATAATATGTTCTATTGATTTGATTAATTCTCCACCATAGTCTCTGTTCAAAGGGGATTTTGTTGGCATCTTCCTTTAGTAATAACTGTTGGCATTGAACATGGCTAAACATAAGGCCCTTCTGAATTTTGGGGTGCAACAGGTATCTAGCTGGTTGGAGAAGATGTGCACAGTGGCTCAAGAAAGTGTTTCTGGATAGAGTGAAAAGTCTGTTTGCAGTTCTAAATCAATGACCTACTGTTTCAGATCAGTTAGTGCACCTATGTAGTCCATCAAGGTGATGGCTGACTATGAAAAGTCATAAACTTTTATGGGATATATCAGGCATATATAGGAGATATACGAGAGCCAATTTGGTCTAGAGCAGGGGTGTCAAACTGGCAGCCCACGGGCCAGATGCATCACAAGTAGGCCACACCCACCCCAGCTCTACAAAGGTAAAAAATGTTGCAATATGTCACAATACGTCATGTGACATGATTGAGTTTGACACCTGTGGTTTAGAGGTTAAGGCATCAGGCTAGAACAGTAGTTCTCAACCTTTTTAATGCCGCAACCCCCAACCGGTCGTAAGTCGAGGACTACTCAACCGGTCGTAAATCGAGGACTACTCAACTGGTGCAGCACCATTTGCAGAATGGGAGTTTTGGCGGGCTCAGCAGGGCAGAGACAGCCTGGGCAATTTCTATTGGCTTTTGAAAGCCAATAGAATTAGACTCTATTCAAGAGAGTCTATTCTATTGGCTTTCAAAAGCCAATAGAATAAAAGGGAGTAGCACAGCTAAGGAAAAGGGGAAAAAAATGGTAGTCTGCATTGTTTGGCGACCCCCGTGAAATGGTCATTTGACCCCAAATGGGGTCCTGGCCCACAGGTTGAGAACCACTGGACTAGAAAGTGGGAGACCATGAATTCAAGTCCTGCCTTAGCCATGAATGCCAGCTGGGTGGGCCAGCCACTCTCTCAGCCTATCTCACAGAATTGTTGTTTGCCATCTTGAATTGTTTATGAAAATAATAAAATATACAAATAAATAAAGAAAATAAAGCTATAATTTGGCATGTATTGCCTGGCTCCAGCAACTTTGGAAGCTGTTGGTCATAATTAAAGGGGCCAAGTAGGATTAGGGTGGGAATAACTTGATAAATTTAAAGAATGAAAATGTAATTGACTTTTTTATCAGACAAAATCTACCAACTGCAAACCATTCTATGTTTGACTTTGCCTCAGGAAACATAGCAATCAAATTCTTAAATGAGGTGTTTGTAAAACATATTGAGAACCAATCAAATGACAGCCCTGCACTGTCTCCTGTATAAAGTGGGCCATAAAAGCAGTCAGCAGGAAACCAGAGATTGCTATGCTACTCCGTTTTTCTACTGACAGTTTTATTTCACTGATTCATATCGATCACCAAATATCAAATTTAAAAAAATCAAACATCCTTGTTTCTTCACATGCATCTCAAAAATGTAAACTTGCACATTGCCTACAGATGTAATCACTGCTTATGTTTGTGGTATTTTGTAATCTTTTATTTCTTTAAATTCAAGTATTCATTATTTTTTTTCACTGTTAGGTCAATGCTTTGGCGCCATCTTTATGTGTAAGTGCACAGACAGTGGTGCTGCTCGCCTTGGTCCTTTAGGCACTCTGCTGTTTCAGAAATGGGGGAAAAAAAGAAATGGTTTAGTCCCTCTCATGTCTTAGAATGAAAAAAAAAACACTTCTCAGTAAATCTAAAATTAGAGTGAATCTACTTTCTATGTTATAGAAAATCAAAAAGGTTTTTTTTTGTTTTGAAACAATATTCACACTCAACAAACCTGTTTCTGAAAAACAAAACTTCCCTATGTATAAGATAAGCTTATCATACAGCTTGGAACTCTAAGAATAAATTATTAGTCTCAGTACAGATTACATTATTGTTCTTGGGTCTCTCTCTAAAATGAGTATCATATAGTAACACAAATAACACTGCTGTAATGTTATTGTAGGACAGGGGTAGGCAACTCAAAATACTCAAACAGCCACTTCGACCCGTTTCCCACTGAAAACAAAACACTGGGAGCCGCAAAACCTTTCTGATATCTAAATGAAGAAAACACTGCATATATCCTTTTTTATCATTTTATATAGGTAAAAAAGGGTATATGCAGAGTTATCTTCATTTTAGATGTCAAAGGGGTTTCTCTCTGTGTCTCTCTCTGTCTCTCTCCCCCCTCTCTCCCTCTCCCTCTTTCTTTCTGCCCTTAGTCTGCCAGTCCTCTTCACCCATTTTTTTTTCTCTCTCTCTCTCCTCTATTTCTCCCCCCTTCTCTTTTTCTTTCTCTCTCTCTTCCCCCCTCTCTCTGATCTTCTGCACACCTGGAAAGCTGACTTCAAGCTGTTCTCCAACAAGGGGTAGGCAACCTCAGCTCTTTTATGACTCATGGACTTCAACTCCCAGAATTCCTGAGCCAGCATATCTGGGCTAGCTATCTCTCACCTGCCCTTCCTGTTTCCTGCTTCCTGCAGAGATGCAGCCAAGGGGGAAGCCCCACCCAAAAAGCTTTTCGGCTGGTCGGAGAACACCTGAGTCCACTCTCTTTTTTTTACACACACACACAGAGAGAGAGAGAGAGAGAGAGAGAGAGAGAGAGAGAGACAGAGAGAGAGGCAAGTGCCTCTCTCTCTCTCTCTCTCTCTCTCTCTTTCTCTCTCTCTCTCTCTCTCTCTTTCTCTCTGTCTCTGCAAATGGCAGAGGAGGCTAGGAGCCGCATGGGAAGGTTCAAAGAGCCACATGCGGCTCCAGAGCTGCAGGTTCCCAACCTGTGCTGTAGGAGATGACCATAAGTGACGAATCACTGCGGGCCTACAAGAGATCTAAGTTCAGCCCACCTTATCTCCCACTCATTTACCTTGACCATTAGTCGTCAGATTCTTGTACAGAGCTTAAGCTTGCAATAAATCTCATTTGAACTGCCTGAGTCTCCTGATTTCCCTGGCACTTGACAGTTACATGTTAATTTTGTTATTTGTGTTATAACTAACTTGTTTTACTAATGTTGTAAATTGCTCAGAGTCATTTAGGCAAGAAAGGGTGGTATGTAAATTTAGTAAATAAAAATAAAATAAGCATAGGGTACATTGAGCTTAATGGGCCTAAAAAAAGTGTATCCAATCTATTATGTTTCCTCACTTGCATGAATGGCTTCCATATTGCATATTTAGTTGGGTGTAAATATTAGTGTTTTGCTTTACCTTCAAAAAACACATCAGTAATTAAAACTAGAATATGCTTTCTTAGCACTTTTTACAATCCTTCACATTGAGATAGTTGAATTTCACAGTAGATATCAAAAATCTACATTTAGTTTAAATCTACTTTTGTTTACCCTATAAAGATTTTGATGGACAAAACAAACTGACATTTTCAAAAGTAATTCAGCAGACTTACTAAATAGCTCACAAAGTTAATAAATACTAGGCTGAAGTCAGGAAGACCTGAATTAAATTCTAAATTATCCATAATTCTGATCTAGTGAACATGAAATGTTGGATCAGCTTTAACATATGAATGGAGAAAACAACCTCACAGGTATTTTTCACAATACTTTTTTTAGTTAAATCAACATGTAGCATTGATCTTGAATAATATGATTCTAGGCTACATAATTTAAGACTGCACAAAAGGGAATCATGGATCGTACAATCTACTTAACAGTTATCAGTGTCAGCAATAACAAAGATAAATGGTATCCTAACTACACAGTAATACAAAGCTACCAGGAAGACTATTGTTTTTCTCCAGAAGATAAAAGTGTATGTGTTTTCCTTCATTGTGTTTTGACTTCAGAGAAAATGAGTTTGCAACTGGGTAGGAAACTAGAGTATTATACCTATATTTGAAAACCTCATCACTCAGTCAAGGCCCACATTCAGTGATCCAGAATTCTTTCCTATCCATAAAGAGTCAGGTGTAGTTTCTAGTTCAGGCTAGAAACTGGGAGACTGTGTAGTCTCTAGTCCTGCTTAGGCACAAAAAGCCAGCTGGATGACCTTGGGTCTCCCTCTCTCAGCCCTAGGAAGGAAGCAATGGCAAGCCACTTCTGAAAAAGCTTGGCAAAAATACTGCAGGGGCTTGCCCAGGCAGACTCCAAGAATAGGATTTGATTGAATGGGGAAAAAAAACCCAAACCCATATAAAATGTAAGGACCCCTACTTTCTTATATATTCTTCTACAGCAGTGATGGTGAACCTTTTAGAGACCGAGTGCCCAAACTGCAACCCAAAACCCACTTATTTATCACCAGGTGCCAGGTGGGCATGGCCTACTGGGTGGGTGTGGCTGTGATGGTCATGGCAGGCTTGGTGAGTGTGGCCAAGGTGGGCATGGACACCTTGATGTTGCTCACGGGGAGGGACACCTGTGAGGGCTGGGCAGGGTTGGGGGAGATCCAGGGGTCTCTGGCAGGTGGGGCAGTGAGCAGAAGGCTCGTCCTGCAGGGTGAGGTGAGGCGAGGCGAGGCAGGGCAGGGGTGCCATTGTCACAGGGCAAGGTGAGGCAGGGACCGGGGCGGCTGTTGCCTGACACCATCGGCCCCCGCAGACAGAGGCCAGCAAGCACATGGGGGGGCGACAGTGTCTATCAGCAGCCACAGCCTGCTAACCCCTCAACTGGCACACTCTGGGACTCCGCAGCCCCCACTGCCAGCAGCTCAGAGAAGCCGCCTCTGAGCTGGATGGATGGACCACAGCTGAGGAGGCAATGCAGTGGGTTGTGCTCAGGAAAAGGAGAGCATGCGGGACCAGGAGAGATGGGATGGAGGGGAGGGAAACCAGCTGTGCTGGGATGCATCTGGCCATGTGGGACCTTAGCGAGTTAGCAGGCGGTTGGTTGAAGAGAGACGGTTGCATCTCTGGGGCATGGCACATGTGCCCACAGAGAGAGCTCTGAGTGCTGCCTCTGGCACATGTGCCATAGGTTCGCCACCACTGTTCCACAGCATTTATAAAAACAAAATATCAAAACAAAAATGTCAGAAGAAAACTATCTGAAATCTTTCTCTCTAGCTTGGTACACACCAAGAGTAATTTATACAGAGGAGTCCTTAACATTAAATCTTCGATTTGCAGTCTCAAATCATTTAATCAAGCCATACTATGGCTTCTGTTCATCTATTTATCTGTCAATCCTAGAAAAAGTAAAAATTATGGAACGTGTGGCATAAAGCTGTAATAGAACAGTCTCTCTTTCCATACCTTTTGGCTACTATATGATCACGTACAGCTGGAATCCTGTCTTTCGCACGGATTTCATGTGAAGAGGTTTGCACCTGTGCCTCTGTACATATGCGAGACGAACGCCATTTCTTTCCCCGTGGTATGTCGACATATGAAGTCTGAACTTGAGCTTCAGTAAATAGAGGAGTTTTTGATTTCCTTTCCACTCTGGAAATTTGATCTAGTGTTTCCTCATCTTGTATTTTAACATCTGGAAATTCCACTGGACTCTCTACTAGTTTTGGAAATAATCTCAAATTTTCCTCAAAGGACAGGCCAAAATTGGTATTTTGCATTTGGAGCACTGCTTCCTCTCTCATGGTCCATAATTCGAGCAATGATTTTTGCACCAGAGCCCTACTGTGTTCTAGGCGGAAAGTCTCAGTTTTTGTATATCCTGATGCAGGAGTTGATGGTCTCCTTGGACTGGAAATTCGTGATGGAACCTGAGACTCAGTTTTGCATGGAAGAAAGGGAGACTCAGTTATGTGTGACACAGCAGGAAACTCTTCAATGCTCAAAGGTGCAGGAGACACTTTAGTACTCAAAGGAGCTGGAGATATCTCCATGTATGATGGAGCAAGAGGCAACACCATGTGCGATAGAGGAGAAGACACCTCTCTGTGTGAAAGAGCACGAGATGCATCCATATGAGATCGGGTGGATGACACATCTATGAATGATGGGGAACTTAGTAGAGGGCTCCCAGGAGATTGTTTCTGGGCATTTGGAAGATCCTCTGGAACATGCATATCAGTCAGGAAGACTTGAGCATTGATACCTGGAAATTCAGTCATAGTGGGTTTTATTTGATCTTCCACTGACTCTGTCACCCTCAATATTTCAGGAGCAGATGATAGCTTTGAGCTTTCAGTCTGTTGTGAGACAGGAAATATCTCAGTAGTTGGTGGCAAATAGGATAGGGAAGTTTGAATTTCAGTGTCTGTTAGATTTTTTGTCTTCCATATATCGAGGGAGGAGGTTTGCACCTGGGTTATGACTTGGCCTGCAGGAGGAGATTCTGCCTTTACAACCAGGGATGAGTGAACTGGGATCTCAGATTCAGAGGGGAAAGGGTTTTTTTCTGTGGATCCTGGCAAATCAATCCAAGATGTTTGTAGCTGGGCATGATTCAGTTCCTTTCTTTTCCATATGTCAAGGAGAGAGGTTTGTATTTGGGTGTCCATTTGTGGTGCTTCAATTTTTGCCTCTTCTAGTTCAAGTGAAGTCTGTTGCTGAAAATCAGCATACTTATGAGGTGGATGCCACAGATCCTCCTGAGGCATCTCAGCATCTGAGGTCTGCATCTGAGCATCTGCTTGTGACACTAGATGAGACTCTTCTTTTGCTTTCCATAAGTCAAGTAGAGAGGCTTGTGGCAGGATATTCATTTGTGATGGTTGAGCTGACTCTTCTAGTTCAAGTGAAGTCTGCTGCTGAAAGTCAGTATACAAATGTGAAGGAAAGTCAGCATCTGATGTTTGCACTTGTACACCATCAGTGTGAGATACAAGAGAAGGTTCTTCCTTTTCCTCTAGTTTATCAGCAAAGGAAGTTTGTGCCTGGGTGTCCAATTGTTCTTTTTTCTTCCATATATCTGTCAAAGATGTCTGCATTTCAAAATCAGCTTTCAACTTGTGAGAATGCTCCACTTTTGCCTCCTCTAACTTATTTTCAGATGTCTGCTGCTGCATGTTAACCAATTCTTTGGCTTTCCATATATCAATAAAAGAGGTCTGAGCTAATTTGTCTGCAGCAGGAGATGTAATTCCTTGCTTTGAGAATTCACTTGCAGAAGTTTGCACCTGAACATCCATTTGTTCTTTTACTTTCCAGATGTCAAACAGTGATGTTTGAGCTTCACTATCAACTACTAATGGAGGAGGCGATTCCACTGTCTTTGATGAATCTGATACTGAAGCATGTTCTTGGGCATCAGCTAAGTCTCTTGCTTTCCATATTTCAAGCAAGGAGGCTTGTCTCCGAGGTTCAGATTGCTTTGGAGAAGGAGATTCTATTTCCTCTGTAGTCAATTCAAGTTCTGCAGTCTGAGTTTCAGTTTCAGCTTGCAGGTGTGATGCCCGCCATTTATTTCCAAATGGTATTTCAACATATGATGTTTGTACCTCACAATCAACAGCTGGAGACCAAAGATGGTCTCTTTGGAAAGGAGTCTGAGAAGCTGATGTTTGAACTTCTGGAAGCTCATGATACCACTTGCGGATCTGAGCTTCTATTACTTGTGGTGTAATAAGGTACTCCTTTCCTTCTGTAATCTCTTGGTTTTCATTTTCAGCCTCAATTAAGGACAAAGAGGAGCACTGCTCCTGGAGTTTGGACTGTGACAAAGAACAGAGTTTTTTCATTAGTTCTAAATCAGATGTTTGCACTTGAGCTTCTTTTTTGAATGATGTGGAAGAAAATGATCTTGCAGATTCATATTCTGAAGTTGGTAACTTTTGTGCTGAAAAGGGATGCTGCTCAAAGTGCTCATCACTGAAAGTCATGTCTTGGGTCTCAATATCTGACCAAGAAGAAGCCTTCCGCATTAATTCATGACTTGACTGTTGCAACTGGGGTTCAGCCACCAACAGTGAAGAAATTTTCTTTAGAAATTCAGCATGAGAAAGTGGTTCCATGGCCTCAATCTGTGATAGCAAAGGAAGCTTCTTTAACAATTCAACAGTTGATGTTTGGACCTCTGCACTAGCTTGTGGATGTAATAAATGCCACTTGTCCCACTGCTGGATCAAAGAGTCAGATGTTTGTGCAGAAGCTTCAGTCAGTTGAAATGGGAGAGATTTCTTTTCTATGAGCAGAGGAGCCCCCAACTCTTCTTTTTCTAATTCAGGCTCTGATGGCTGTACCTGGATTTCCGATGACTCTATTACTGAAGTAAATGAGGTCTGAACCTGGGCCTCAGCATTCAATCGAGCAGCACGCCAATCATTCCCAGAAGGTGCTTCCACAGGTAAAGTCTGCACTTCAGCATTAACATATGTAGGGTATAAGTTGCTCGGTTCCGCCAGTGATGACTGGGAAAATGACAGCTTACTCTGGAACTCATTCTCAATAGAGGACACATCCTCCTTTTCTGACATGTCTGAAAATGAAGTCTGTACTTGCATGTCTGTCTGTGAAGGAATGTGCAAATCAGTAGGTGAAGTCTGCACTTTAGTCTCAACTAATATTGGCAAAGAAGCAATCTTCTCTAACAATTCTAGATACAAAGGTTGAGTCTGGATACACTCTTTCAAAGATTCTGCAGGCTCCCTATCTGGTAAAGAAATAAATGAGGTTTGCACCTCAACTTCCTTTTCTTCAGGTAGTGATGATAATGATGTTTGCACCTGGGCCTCCATTCTTTCTGGTAACGACAACAGCGATGTTTGCACCTGGGCCTCCTTTTCTTCTGGTAAAGATAGCAGCGATGTTTGCACCTGGGCCTCCTTTTCTCCAAATAATGACAGCAGCGATGTTTGCACCTGGATTTTCTTTTCTTCTGATAAAGACAGCAGCGATCTTTGCAAATGAGCTTCAACCTCACAGAGTCTTCTTAATTCTGCAAATGAAGCTTGGATTTGGGCATCAGTATCAACTGGGGTTGGGCTCCGCAGGGAGACACATGACGTTTGTGCATGAGCATCAACTTCTGTAGGTAAGCTTGAAAATGAAGTCTGGATCTGAACATCAGCCTCAGAGGGTGACTCTGCTTCTACAATGGGTACTGAAATAATGGAAGTTTGCAACTCAACTTCTTTATGTAGTCGTGACCACCGCCACCGATTTCCTTCTGGAATTTCTACTTTAGATGTCTGTACCTCAGCTTCAATATATAAATCATCTTCCTCCTATTTGGAGAAAACATGATTATCTTGTACTGAAAGTTAAAGTAATCTTTGGCAGTTGAGAAAGATTTTTTGCTTGCAAGAGCCAAAAATCTGGATTCCTACATAATGTACTGCTTGAGCTTTTAGAGGTCTGCCCAAATGAAAGGAACATTAAACTAAATAAATAGGATTGTTTTCTTCTAGCTGCACCGAATTGCTAATTCACATTAATAAGTAGAGATCTAGTCGGGTTTGACTAAAACTGTCTAATTTTTCTTAGGAAACTATCTTAGGAAATAATACTCTTGCATACTACAATTTCCTGCCTTCTTTAGATGATACCAAGGTATTATACCCCTTTATGGATTACTGCCTTGTCGGGGCGAAGGGGCTTGCGTAACTCAATGAAGCTATAAGTTATGCCGTGTAAGGCCACCCAAGTCGGACAGGTCATAGCAGAGAGTTCTGACAAAATGTGATCCACTGGAGAAGGAAATGGCAAGCCACTCCAGTATCTTTGCCATGAAAACCCCATGGACAGTACTAAAAGGCAAAAAGATATGACGCTGGAAGATGAGCCCCCCAGGTCGGAAGGTATCCAATATGCTACTGGGGAAGAGCAGAGGCTAGTACTAGTAGCGCCAGAAAGAATGAAGCGACTGGGCCAAAGCCGAAAGGACGCTCAGCTGTGGATATATCTGGTGGTGAAAGGAAAGTCCGATGCTGTAAAGATTTTTTCTCCATTGGAACCTGGAATGTAAGATCCATGAATCAAGGCAAGCTAGACGTAGTCAAAAAAGAGATGACAAGACTGAACATCAACATCTTAGGAATCAGCAAACTAAAATGGACAGGAATGGGTGAATTTAACTCAGATGACCATCAGATATACTACTGTGGGCAAGAATCCCTCAGAAGAAATGGAGTAGCCTTCATAGTCAATAAAAGAATAGGAAAAGCAATACTGGGATACAATCCCGAAAATGACAGAATGATCTCAATTCGAATTCAAGGCAAACCATTCAATATCACAATAGTCCAAATCTATGCCCCAACCACTGGTGCTGAAGAGGATGAAATTGACCGGTTCTATGAAGCCCTACAGCACCTTATAGAATTAACACCAAAAAATGATGTCCTTATAATCATGGGGGATTGGAATGCTAAGGTAGGAAGCCAAAAGATAACCGGAATAACAGGCAAGTTTGGCCTTGGAGTAAAAAATGAAGCAGGGCACAGGCTAATAGAATTTTGTCAAGAGAATACGATGGTCATAACAAACACTCTTTTCCAACAACCCAAGAGACGGCTCTACACATGGACATCACCAGACGGTCAACATAGAAATCAGATTGACTATGTGCTCTGCAGCCAAAGATGGAGAAGCTCTATCCAGTCAGTAAAAACAAGACCAGGAGCTGACTGTGGCTCAGATCATGAGCTTCTCGTTGCAAAATTTAGGCTTAAATTGAAAAAAGTAGGGAAAAGCACTAGGCCACTCAGGTATGAACTAAATCATATTCCTGATGAATATACAGTAGAGGTGACAAATAGATTTAAGGAATTAGATCTGATAGACAGAGTGCCTGAAGAACTATTGATGGAAGTTCGCAACATTGTACAAGAGGTAGCAACTAAAACCATCCCAAAGAAAAAGAAATGCAAGAAAGCAAAATGGCTGTCTGAGGAAGCTTTGCAAATAGCTGAGGAAAGAAAGGAAGCGAAAGGCAAAGGAGAAAGAGAAAGATACACCCAACTGAATGCAGAATTCCAGAGAGTAGCTAGAAGAGATAAGAATGCCTTCTTAAATGAACAGTGTAAAGAAATAGAAGAAAACAACAGAATAGGGAGGACCAGAGATCTCTTCAAGAAAATTGGAGATATGAAGGGAACATTTCATGCAAAGATGGGCATGATAAAGGACCAAAATGGCAGAGACCTAACAGAGGCAAAAGAGATTAAGAAGAGATGGCAAAACTACACAGAAGAACTATACAATAATGAGCTTAACATCCCAGATAACCACAATGAGATTGTCATTGACCTCGAACCAGACATCCTAGAATGTGAAGTGAAATGGGCCTTAGAAAATCTGAGCAACAACAAAGCTAGTGGAGGTGACAGTACTCCAGCTGAGCTATTCAAAATCTTAAAAGACGATGCAGTAAAAGTGCTACACTCAATTTGCCAGCAAATTTGGAAAACTCAACAGTGGCCACAGGATTGGAAAAGGTCAGTTTACATTCCAATTCCAAAGAAAGGAAATGCCAAAGAATGTTCAAACTATCGCACCATTGCACTCATTTCACATGCTAGTAAAATTATGCTTAAAATCCTACAAGCTAGACTCCAGCAGTATGTGGATCGAGAACTACCAGAAGTACAGGCAGGATTTCGAAGAGGCAGAGGAACTAGAGATCAAATTGCCAACATACGCTGGATCATGGAGAAAGCTAGGGAGTTCCAGAAAAACATCTACTTCTGCTTCATTGACTATGAAAAGCCTTTGATTGTGTGGATCACAACAAACTGTGGCAAGTTCTTAAAGAGATGGGAGTACCAGACCATCTCATTTGTCTCTTGAGAAACCTATATGCGGGTCAAGAAGCAACAGTGAGAACTGGACACGGAACCACTGATTGGTTCAAAATTGGAAAAGGAGTCCGGCAAGGCTGTATACTGTCGCCTGCCTATTTAACTTATATGCAGAGCACATCATGAGAAAGACAGGGCTAGATGAATCAAAAGTTGGAATTAAGATTTCCGGGAGAAATATCAACAACCTAAGATATGCAGATGATACCACTCTAATGGCAGAAAGTGAAGAGGAACTAAAGAGCCTCTTAATGCGGGTGAAGAAGGAGAGTGCAAAAGTTGGCTTGAAACTCAACATTAAGAAAACCAAAATCATGGCATCCGGCCCTCTCAATTCCTGGCAAATAGATGGGGAAGAAATGGAGGTAGTGACAGATTTTATTTTTCTGGGCTCCAACATCACCTCAGATGGGGACTGCAGCCAAGAAATTAAAAGACGCTTGCTCCTGGGGAGGAAAGCTATGGCAAATCTAGACAGCATTCTAAAAAGCAGAGACATCACCCTGCCAACAAAAGTACGTATAGTCCAGGCCATGGTTTTCCCAGTTGCAATGTATGGCTGTGAAAGTTGGACCATAAGAAAGGCTGAGCGCCAAAGAACTGAGGCCTTTGAACTATGGTGCTGGAGAAGACTCCTGCGAGTCCCTTGGACTGCAAGGTGTTCAAACCGGTCAGTCCTAGAAGAGATCAACTCCAATTGCTCTTTAGAAGGCCAGATCCTAAAGTTGAAACTCAAATACTTTGGCCACCTAATGAGGAGGAAGGACTCACGGAGAAGGGCCTAATGCTGGGAAAGATTGAGGGCAATAGAAGAAGGGGACGACAAAGAATGAGATGGCTGGATGGAGTCACTGAAGCAGTAGATGTGAACTTAAATGGACTCCAGAAGATGGTAGAGGACAGGAAGACCTGGAGTAACATTGTCCATGGGGTCGCGATGGGTCGGACACGACTTCGCAATTAACAACAACAACAACAAGGTATTATATATGTATCTGTGTGCATATGCATGCATGTATGCTTATATTTCATAAATTTATAAAAAGAGCCCATCTCAAATAAATGATTCTGGACAACCTGCAACATTAAAATAAGAAACACATTTAAAAATCTAAAATTTATATGAGCAAAGAATCATTAACAACAACTGCAATTGTCATGGCTTCATCAGATCCTGATTTGGAGGAGGAGGAGGCAGTGTTGGAACTGAGACTATACAACAGGGAAGATATGGTCCTCTCCAAATGAGTGAAAAGTCCAGGGGCTGAGGATAAGGCAGTCTCAGGCCTGTCTGGCAATTGGGAGGGGGTGACAGGACAGGGAGCTGCCTGCAGAAGTGGAGCACTTGTAGAGAGCCAGCAGAGATGACAGGCTTCAGACCACCTCTGACAAGGAACAGCTCCCTCCCCCACCCGATCCATGGGCGAGGAAAACAGAGTGAAGCGAGGTAAAGGATGTCAGTGAGTCTGCTTGTGAGGAAGCAGTCCTGCCCCTCTTCACAAGGAACAGCGGAGAATGGTGATTTAACCAGACACTGGGAGAAGGTGTGCTTAAACAGCTGCTCATTTTGATGTGCACCTTCCTGGCTTTGCTGGATCCTGTTTCTTGAATTTTGGACTGTGTTTTTGAGCTCTGAACCTCAAACTCTTGCGGACTTTGGATTTGACTCTTGGACTTTGGACTCTTGGATGATTGGAACTCTAAACTTTTGGGTATGTTTCTTCTCGCTTGCCTCATGGGTCAGCTAGGACTTAGGACTTAATTTGTGAATCCAGATTGAGGAAAAATTGAGGGCTGAGGCAGAGCTTCACAGGCACCATTGGTGGGTCATTTAACACTATAAGTGAGCAATAAACAGATCCCCATTAACCCCTGCCTTGCCAGCATGATTTAGATCAGAACAGCAGTCACATAAACCAGAAGATGAGTCCCTCAAAGGTTCAAACGCCCTAACCTCAAGCGCCGAAACACACCTTCAGGGTTTTATAGCAGGTATGGGGCCAATTTAATCTTTAGAGGGATGATATTCCAGAAGTGGATGCCACTACAGAAAAGGCTCTCCTCTTGGGCCCTGCCAGCTGACATTCTTGGCGGATGGGATGCAGAACACACTCCTTCTGCCAGGTCATTAATTTAAAATGCATTCAGTGTTATAGTTTACAGAACATTATAAGAGCAAACAAATATGTGGCATTCTATTTTTTAAAAAGAAAGTCTAATGCTAGCTTAAAATTATTGGTATAAATCTGTGATATAAATCTTAATGAACAGTTGAATCTGGCTCTCAACCACCAAATTTAGATCCTATCACAAAATACTTTATTTTTGCTGCAAGAAATTCTAGCCTATCTAGAATTGGAATCTGCTGCTTCATAACACAGTGTTAAGATTCTTAAAGGCAAGTTGAATCATCTCTAGAAAGCTCCATACACATGAAACATTTAAAATATTTTTAAACATATTTTAAATATTTAAAATGTTATCAGTAAAGCAGTAGACCCCCACATATTCATACTGTTGCTCAAATTTTCAGTTACAACTTTAATTGGTGACTTTAATTTTTGATGCCAATTTAAAATGGAGCAATTACTCTCTTTTTGAAATGAAAAAATGACAATATTCATATTTAATTTAAATAAAATAATAGTATTTTACTAAAATACTATTATGTATTTTACTCATTTGAAAAAATCAGAATATTCTCTTGCAATTCATTTCCCTAGAAAGTGCAGTAAAAAGTTGGAAAGAAGTAATTGATATAATGCATCATATCAGTATAGTACAGAAATGGTAATATCCAGGAACTGAGTTCAACTTTTAAAAACAGTATGTTCCTTTACAAGTAAAAATCCTTTTCTCATGGTGGAAAAACTATTAGTTGTTACTGCTTTACTAGACAAAATAAAATATCATTTCACAGAATGGAATAAAACACTTAAGTTATCTCTCTTTTGCTCCTCTCTTTATTAACAATGGCATTTTTGCTATTTTATAAAAAAGAGTTTTGAACAACACAAAAATTGGAATTTGTTATCAAAATGATGTTGAAACATAGGAATGTGGACTTGTAAGAAGTTTATTCATGAAGGCAAAAGTACTAATAAACCTGTATCAGTGATGTCACTGCAAGGACTACCAATGCATAAATAAAACACCACTAATTATTCAAAAACTTATATTATACATAGATCAAACAATAAACACAGACAAAATATTGCAACATGGAATGCTCTTCAGGATTTCAATTCTTTGATTATTTTTTAGTCTCTGTTTTATTTTCCTAAATGTTTTTTACTCGAACAATTATGAAGGTCGTAATTCTATTGATACGTTTTTAATACTATTTTGGTTAACCAACAGCATTTTATTTATTTATTTTATTCTGGCTATTGGAAGTAGAGGAAATTACAGTACAAAGACATTAGCAGTATTAATTATTCTGATACTCAAAAACTATCCATAGCTAGAAAAGATGAGTTTGATTCATTAATAAGGCTCTCCTGATATTTAAAGTTTTCTGGCAATTAAATGAAGCTTCATAAATATTTCCTTATAACCTAGTGATTCTGAATTACTGTAAAAGTTGGGCAGAAAGCTAAGCATTCTTCCTATATCCCTTTCTTTAAATTACAATGTAATCAAGCTCATTTTCCTCTTTTATATGTACAAGAAAACCATAAAAACAATAGTAGTCAGTGACTACTAGTCATACTGATCATGACAGAAAATACACTATGAAGCTAACACCTTCATTAAACTAACTGAAAGTTCATAAAATAGTTGCAGACTTTCCAGTTTTCAAGGATTAATCAGGCAAGGTAGAATTAAAAGAAGACAGAAAGAGCTGGGGCACTGAAGAAAGCCCAGCTTGCATTTCTAACCCACATATGCACTGTTTGCTTGCTGTTTCTTTAGTGAGCTTAACCGCAAAATATGGTGCCAAACACTTAAGGAAGATCTTAAGATCTTGGAACGATGCCAAAGATGCTGTGAATGATTGAAACCCCTGGAAAACATTTGCTGCCCAAAGTGCTCTGCACAGGATCTAATGATGATCTAATGAAGAACTATCCCAAAACTGAATTTGTCTGGGTAAAGAAAAATTAATCATATGCAGATTTTTAAGAAAATAAGTCAATTATTCAGTGATGAACTTTGAAAAGGAAGATAGTTCCCCAGGTACCAAGTCTCCACAAAATGTCACCACATATATTGTTTTGATTGTTTCAATGCCTAAGAAATTCATTGCCAGCAAAAGAAAGCTTCAATAAATTTATTTGAGTTTAGCAAACATTCATTCAGCCTTGTGCATCTCCCAAATTTGGGAACCATGTTTCTGTCCCCATAAAGGAAATAAAATTTTGAAATGGATAGAAGATAATAAAGAAATAGTTATTCTGAAGGAAGTCTTACATTTATTTTTCTATTTCCTTTTCTCATACTGTAGAAACCACTACTTAGCTAAGGAAAGGAAGGAGGGAAAAAAAAGATTTATTGGTAAAGGTAACGTTGCCAGAACCATTTGGGGATCTGTTTATCAATAGTATCAACTTTCAGACTTTAAAAAGAGATATTATTGAAATAGATATTGTTGTAGTTTTAAAATATAAAACGCAGAAAGCAGCCATCTATAAGCTATTGCTATAGGTTTTAAGTATAAATGGCAGCAAACAGACATTATCACAATTTCCCCCAATTGTAGTGACTTCATGACTTGCTCATTTCCAATTTTGAGGAAAACATTGTAAAAGCTAGCTTCTTTAGTGAATTACCTCATTGTGGTCTAGCTCCAGGTCCGGTTCGGACAACTCTGAAGATTTGAAGTGATCAGGCCCAATAATATTAATGCTGAAATATATAAGACACAAAAATTTTCAGAGCAGGCTAAGCAACCTCATCTTTAACAGATACCGAAGACTTCAGAGGTATAAATCAGCCTCGTCTGACTCACTGCAATACCTCATGCTTCTCCCCTCCATCCTGACCCACCAGATCTCCACAGGCCCAGTGACTGGGGAGACTCACTTACCTTTTGAAGATCTCGATGATTAAGCAAGCTATCTCCTTTCCAGCTTCTTTGCCACAGTTTCTTTGCCTGCTCCCAGCACTCCAAAAGCGGAACAGTGACAGCAGAGGCAGAGTGGGACGAGTGCACCCTGCTCAGCTTGGATGACTCACCGAGACTGCTTGTGAAGGACATCCAGTCTGTTCTTGGAGCACCGGTCAGCCTCTGTGAGTCTGAAGAAGCGCGAGATCAGGCTCCTTCCAGCTTCTGTTCTCTGTACCAAAAGTTTTTGGAAAGGGATGGAAGGCTGCGGGGGAGTGATCTTCTGCTGCTTGAAGCCTTCCATCCTTTTGTAAAAACTTTTGGCATGGAGAAGAGAGATCTGAAGAAGAGCAAGACCACGCCCCCAAAGGTTTCTATTCTCTGCACCAAAAGGTTTTCCAAAGGGACGGAAAGCTTTCGGGGAGCGATCTTGTGCTGCTTCGGGCTTCCGTCCCTTTGCAAAAGCTTTTGGTGCAGAAAAGAGAGGCCTGAAAGAGTGCAAGACTACATCCTCTGTGCAAAAACCTTTTGCAAAGGGATGGAAGGCTTCAGGAGAGTGATCTTGTACTGCTTCAGGCCTCTGTCCCTTTGCAGAAGCTATTAGCATGGCGAACAGAAGCCTTTGGGGGTGCAATCTTGCACTTCATCAGGCCTCTTTTCTCCATGCCAAAAGCTTTTAAAAAGGGACAGAAGGCTTCAAGCAGCACAAGATCGCTCCTCCAAAGCCTTCCATCCCTTTGCAAAAGCTTGTGGTGTGGAGAACAGAAGTCTGAAGGAGCCTGATCTCGCACTCCTTCAGACTCACGGAGGCTGACCGGTGCTCCGAAAGCGGACCAGAGGTCCTGTGCAGGCAGCTTAGCTGAGTCAGCCAAGCTGAGCAGGGCACTCATCCTGCTCTGCCTCTGCTCTCACTGCTCTGCTTTTGAAGCGCTATGAGCAGGCAAAGAAACTGGGTTGCCTCACAACTCCCTCAGCAGAGAGGCTGGAGAGGAAACAACTTGCTTGAGGACAGAGGAGGAGCAGTCAGCCTATTCTGGAATTCTGGATCTTCAAAAGGTTAAGTGAGCCTTTCAGGGTAACAGGATAGGGAAGAGCCAGTGGGCTAGTACAGCAGGGCCAGTTCCTGTTAGATCCCAGGGAGAGGGGGTAAATCGGCAGGAGGAATGTTGTAGTGTCTCTGAGGTCGGTTGTAAGGGTGAACATCTGCCCATGGTGCTGCAACATTCATAACTTCTGGACTGTATCATAAGTACTTTTGGGGGGGGGGGTTGTAACTTTGAACCATTGCTAAGTGAACTATCTTAACTTGAGGAGTACCGTATAACACCATCTGCAAAGTCTATTTATATTTAAGAGATTGTTTCTCTATCAAATCACTATAATAATACAGTGTGCACTCATCAATTTTACTTTTTTGTTTTAACATTTCTCACATTAAATTTATCTCCCAAGCAATTTTTGACAGGTACACAAACAAAGGGAAAGTATATCTATACATCCAGTGAATTTATCTACTGGGCTATTATGTAGTGCAGTATTATATTGAAACGATATTAATGTTTAAGGCAAGCCTCTAAAGGTGCCATTGACTATTAAAGAGGGATGGATCATACCATGTTGAGGACTGAGTTTCTGGTGGAACAGCACAACAGAAAAATTTTCTCCAACTGCCTATAAATCAGATGGAAAACAATGTTAGAAAAACATTTTTTGATCTGCATTTCATTAAGAAAGCATCCCAGGCTGTAAAAAGGAAAAATTGCATGAGAATGCCTTTAACATGAAGATTCCAAGAGCATTCACCTGGTCCCAAAGGCATTTTTTTAAAAAACAGTAATAAAATGCCAAATTTCATGGCACACATCATAAGAAGTATCCCAACTGGTGACAGGTCTAACACAAAAAAACTGTAAATAGTTTTACAGTTGTTTATTTGTGAATGAAATTTTTAATAAGACGTAGTCAAATAATCATGAGAAGAAGCAATATGCTACTTGTAGAGTTGAAAAATGAAGGACAGTGAAATCATGTGATTTTTAAAAAAATCATTCATATATCGTACAAACTACTTATTGTGCCATTAAGTCAGGTTCGTTTAGAAATAATTTTTACTGAAATTTAAAAATAAAAATAACTAATAATAATGTAAGAAACTAACACAAACTAAGACAAATACACAAAGACGAAAAGGTGAGAAACAAGGAAAATACTAAAAGAAAAAAGATTATGTTTGTGTGTCTGTGTGTATTATACTCCCACCTTCATAAAGACAAGTACAATTTCAATCATATCACCTTTTATAAAATGTTGATCACATAGTTTTTCTTTTATCTATTGGTAAATAATACCAATCATCATTTAATCTTAATTAGCAAAAGACTATTACAAGCTTCAAAAACAACAATACACAAACACACACACTTTAAATAATAACAGTTTCATATTCTTTTTATTTACTTCATCCAATAACTTAGATTTTTTTATAAAAATCCCAAAAACCTCTTTCTGTATCTCTTATAGCTGTAAACAAATCTTTAAAGCCTCATTTTTCAAAGTTTCAAAAAAATCTTTAAAATGTACCAAAAATAACAAAATGTTGAAATTGAATCTCACAAATTAATTTCTTCTCATTTTCTATTTATCTCCTCTCAGAATAATATCATAATTTACCACTTTCTCTAAAAATACAAAAGAATTTCCTCCCCATAATATCAATAAAGAAATTTTAAAGCCTCATCATCCACTCCTAGTCAAGAAAAAACAATTAAAAACTACTAGAAGAAAAATATATACATTTCAACCATGGTTAAATAAGTCAACTTTTTTACTTTGCACATTTAAAAGATTTGATGTTTATTCCTTTTAATTTTCTAGGTTTCGTCAAGAACTCCCTTTTCAAGTCCAAAATTTTTTTAAAAATGTCCAAGTCTTTCTTCTGAACTGAAGCCCAAACATCCAAATCACTCTTATGAATTATTATTTGTGTGTCCTTTATCGCTATTAAAATATCAACCAGTTTCATTTATGAATCTTGTGTAACATCTTTGCAACTATCATTCTTGTACCCTGTTAGTTATACATCCATATTCAAAAACAGCCTGATTCACAGTTGTATCCTCTTCTATCTCCTCTTTTGAACCTGTTTTATAATAATAGAATAGAATAAAAGAAAGTTCTCAGTACATCGTTGCTAAATATTCTTGAATTCTGCCGAATATCTTTCTCCCTTCTGTACTAGAGAGTATTCTCCTTTAATTACAAACTTTGGTTCTTTTCTGGTTGTCTTTAGTAACCATCCTTCTTATCATGTTTTTCTCTAATCCACTATGTTTTCCTAGGGAAAGATTTCTTACACTTAAATTCAAAATCTTTATATATTTTAATAGGGTTTTAAACAAACAACAGGAATTATAATTTTTATAATTATTGCATAATCTTATTTCCAGTCAATTTAGCTCCTTAATCCATTTAAAAACTTTCCAAAATCAATGCTCTATTCATCTTTTTGCTCTTTATTTCCATGCAAAGGTTTTTCTTTAAGTTTTTAAATTGACATGAAACTTCCTTTCATTGAGGACTGAAGAAAAATCACCCAATGTATTTTTCTTGTTTTACTGGAAGACGTTTCGCTTCTCATCCAGGAAGCTTCTTCAGTTCTCACTGAATAGTGAAAAATGGAAAAATTTATATTCTTTGCAGTCATCTAGTCATTAGCATTCTTTCTGAGAGTCGTTGAGGCTACTTGGAGGTTTAACTGTGACCTCGCATAAAGGGATTTTAGGAGACAATTTTACAAATTTATTCCCAATTCTGTGGCATGTCTAATAAAATGATTTTTATTAATTTACTTAATTTTGTTGTATTGCAAATAATTATTCTCAGGAATCTTCTCTAATACCAAAGTTCCAAGTCATCAATAGTCTTCCTATTCTGTTTTTTTTAAACTTTCACTCCCATAGCAGATCACAGGGAATACTATGGCTTGTATAATTCTGTATAGACACAGTATGGCATTTAAATAGCTTCCAAGATTGTATCTACAAGAGCTTGTCTACACAGCATATTTCTTGACTCCTGGTTCCTTTACTGCTGAGGTTGATCCTAAAAAGCTATCTACTAATTAATAGCTTTATTGTCAGTTCTAAGGCTGATTGTTCTACTTGCTATCATTAGTTTCATCTATTTAATGTTCAGTTTTGGTCCCATTTTTTCACTACGTTCTTTGATTTTTCAGCACTAGGGCTTGCAGGCACTTTGCATTTCAGTTATCAGGGTAGTGCTATCAACATAGTTCAAATTGTTAATTTAATTGAGTATTTGGATAAGAACAATCAAGTCCCTGCAGCATTGATATTTTTGGATGCTGAAAAAGCTTTTGATCAGTTGAATTGGCAAGTTTTATTGAAAGTTGTTGATAAAATGAATTTTGGGGATAAATTTTTATATTCTCTTAGGGCTATATACCAACAACAATTGGCACAAATCATAATTAATGGGGGATTAACAGAGGCATTTAAAATTGAAAAGGTACAAGACAGGGATGTCCATTGTCACCATTGTTGTTTGTTTTAACAATGGAGATTTTACTGATTAAAATTCGTGAATCAACTATAATAAAGGGAATTAAAAAAAAAGAATGATTATAGGTTGAGAGCCTTTGTGGATGACTTGGTTGTGGCATCATCTCAACCGATTCAATCGGTTATAAGATTTGATGGAAATTATAACTCAGTATGGGAAAGTTTCTGGTTTTAAAGTAAATAATAATAAGACTAAAATATTATCTAAAAATATGATTATGAAGGAAAAGGAAATGTCAGTTAAATTGACAGATTTTGAAATAGTGAAAAGGTTAAATATCTGGGAGTATATATTACAGCCTCTAATGTAAAATTGTATAAAAATAATTATGAGATATTATGGTCAAAGGTACAAAAGGACTTAAACAATTGGAAAAAATTACAATTATCTTTGTTGGGGAAAATTGCAGCTGTTAAAATGAATGGTCTACCAAAGTTTCTTTTCTTGTTTCAAATGATACCTATTTTGAAAAAAGATGCCAATTTGGATGAATGACAGAAGGGCATTAATAAATTCATTTGGGCGGGGAAAAAACCAAGAATTAAATTTAAGATCTTACAAGACGCACGGGAAGGAGGAGGACTTAAGGCGCCTAATTTGAAATTATACTATGATGTGGTGGTTTTAACATTGGTTAGTGATTGGCTTAATTTAACAAATAAAAGTATACATCTTTTTTTGTAAAAGATTTTTTATTTTCAATTTTTCAATACATTCATAAAGAGTACTTCAGATAAAGAATAAAGTAAATTTATATACACAACTTTCGGTATTGCTCACCCATTTCCCCCCAAATCGCATCCATCCTCTAACCTCTTCTCTCACTTCCCTCTTTCCCTCTTCTTCCTCACTCTCCCCCTCTCCTCCTTCTCCTCAACCTTTCTACTTACTTCTCCCCTTCCTTCTATCTTCTCACTCCGGATGCAGTCCAGGGGAAATGCCGGAGCAATTCCTCTCTCCAAATTAAAACATCAATATTACATACAAAAAAACTATTTCTACTTATCTGACCTATTTAACCTCCAACCCATCCTCCCCCCATTCCCCTTCCCCCTCCCCCCTCCCCCCCAACTTCCCAGAGCCAAGTACAGGGTTATACAAACATATTAAACATAATCTACTTAAGTTTACTAATTATACAATAACCAAAATCATACTAACCCTTAACTCTCTTCAAACTTTAACATCATAATTTTATAAACAAATCCATTACTCATAAAATAAATGAAATTTTGTAGTTCCATATTTCTTCTGAACATATTCTATCCCTCTTCTCCATACAATAACATATCTCTCTTGTGAATGATCCTTTAAATAAGCAGAAATTTTAGCCATTTCTGCTAAATTAGAAACCTTAAATACCCATTCTTCTAAAGAAGGCAGAGAGTCTTTCTTCCAGTATTGACCCACCAATAATCTTGCTGCTGTTATTAAATTCAACATTAGAATAGTTTCTTTAGCATCAAAATCCACAAAAATACCCAAAAGAAATAATTGGGGAGTAAACTTAATCTTCCTTTTAAAAACCTTTTGAATGTTCCACCAAATCATAATCCAAAAGGCTTTAATATTTTTACAGGTCCACCAAACATGAAAATAAGTTGCATCCAAGCTACCACATCTCCAACATTTAGGTTGCAGGTTCGGCTTACATACAAGACAACTTTTTAGGATCCAGATGCCATCTATAAAACATTTTATAAAAATTTTCCCTCAAATTTTGGGCCTGTGTAAATTTAACATTTCTAATCCAAATTAACTCCCATAAATCCAATAAAATCGGTTCCTGAATATTCTGAGCCCATTTAATCATACAATCTTTTACTAACTCTGTTTCCGAATCCAATTTTATTAACTCATTGTAAATTCTTTTAATAGGAGCATATTTCTGATCTTTAATCTGAATTACCAAATTTTCATCTCCTAAGGTAATTCCCACTTTCTTATCTAAGGTCCACCTCTCCACTATTTGCAAATATTGAAACCATGATTGTAAAATATTTTCTTGCCTTAACACATCTGAAGACTTTAGTTGTCAATCAGTACCCGACCAAATAAGTAATTCTTTATACGAAATAGTATCAAAATTC